TATTCCTCGATCTCGTCATCCGACTGCGATGTAATGAAAATTTTGGATTTGCCAAGAGCAAGAAGTGGGTAGTGTCCTTTTTGAGTACTTCCATGGAAATAGAGTTTCAGGAGGGAAACTTGGGCTCTTCCGAAGTTATCGACCCATTTCCTACTTCCCAAACACCTTATTAGCCGGCAAACAGAGGAATCTTTAAATTTGCGCTTCAGGCGTAAATTTCGCGAGAAACTTACAAAAAGTGGCCACTGGAAAGCGATTAGCCCTGAGCTGATTCGGCATCCCATGGTGGAATACAGCCACTATCCGAATTTTTCAACGCGTCCGTCTTTTCCCCTGGAGGTGTTACTCTGATAAACGTCACTTCGCAGTAACTCCAACGTCATCTGGGTGGTCTCAAGACTTTTAAACTCGCGACGACATCAAAATGGTATTCCAGCAGTTCTTCAAGGAATAGCCCTCAGCGTTCTGGAGCAAGGGCATCTACGATCTGCTCATGCGTTGGCAGAAGACCATCGATGCCAGTGAGGCATATTTCGAATGATTCACAATTATTGTTTAAAAATAAATAGTAAGATAAAAATGATCATTACAAATTCGTCCGAGGACTTATGACTCATCTAATAGTTGTGATCGTAGTATTAGTTCTGTTTAGTCCATTAAAAAATATGTAAAAGAAGAATTTGACCATGTCATAACAGAGGAAATAAACCTGGTAAGAGGAAAAGAATTAAGATCCATGTTGGAAACAGGAACAGAGTATAGATTAGACAGTGGCATCACAATGTGGGAAGTAAAAAACATTTACATGGATGCTATGTTCAAAGCTATTTCGTTCTTCGACAACAACCTTTGGTTAAATGTATATCGGATAAGTTTACTTGAGAGGCATTTATACTCGTGCTATCATAAAAAATTAAACCACTGCTAACTAAATCTAGCACAAGTAGTATGGGAGAGTATTTACCTCGTAAAGTAGTTGAACAGTATCAGAGTAAATATATGTTCTCGAAATTGGATAAAGCGGTAAATAACTACGGTATAATTTGTAAAAAAAACTTATTTAACCATCATAACGAAAGAAGTGGAAATTATACCTATGAGAACATT